TGGGCAAACGTGGTCAAAGAGTCTTCAAAAAATTTCACTGAAACTGAGCACAGTCTCTCACAATGCCAGCTGGTGAACTGATACAGATGGGTTCCTAGAACACTCACCTAGTGGGGGAAACCTGTACTATCAGGGACTTGCCCTCCAGAACATAATTCCGGGTTTTGGGGGATTCGCCTCATATATTATTATTTTTGCATGCCAACATTACACAGCAGACTTCTTGTCTATCATTTTGCAAAATTGGACAAGCATGGTCCATCCATGCTTCAGGTATTTTAATAAAGGTGAAATGTCCACTTGTCCTCAACAAACTTTCATTTTATTAACCCATAGAAGTGAGGTGATGTGCCCCAAGGTCACCCATCCTCACAGAATAATGTGGGCCAGAATCCAGCTGTTCTATCCTGCCATTGCACGTGCACACACACACACACACACACACACACACTGCTCAAGACTTGTACTCATGTCCTCTGGAATTTCTTTATCACCTTGGTGAAGACATTCTGCATCACATACATGGTCCTGTCCACATGACCATTATCAGACTTGGAGAAACCAAGACTTTGACATTGAGAAGAGGCAAAAATGATGCATGAGATGACAAGGAAAGATGTCCCTGGTGGGAGTCCTGCACACTGACAGATCAGCTCTGCATCACCCCCAGGCAGTACTTCCAAACATGCTAGTCTAATGTGGCCTCCTAACTGTCATCTGCAGCCCTGTGGAGTAAATGGTTTTTGATGAAACCTTCATCTCTCTCAACAGCACATCTTCTATTTGGAAAGTCCATCTCCTGGTAAATTCTCCAAGAGCATATGTGAAGGGGTATGAGGTCTGAGAAGCAGGATGAGGCTTCCAGTTGCTCCCTGCCACCTGGGTGGACTGTGTACTCTGAGTTGTTTCTGGCATTGGAGAGGGTGGCCCAGAGCCACTTCCATGATTTCCTTTTATGGAACTTGTAGACCTGGAGGTAGAGGTGGGGGGTGCTGTTTAGGCTTTAGGCTTGTCTCAGAGAAGATGTGCATTCTCCTGTGCCACACAGGACATAAAACGCCCATGCCATTTCTAGCACACTGCTCCTTTGAAATATTCTGACCCAGCCTGAGACCTTGCTCCTGCTTCAGAGACCTGTCTTTGGAGACCTGGCTTTGAGGGCTTAGCTCCTCACACTTCTGTCCTGGCTTTCACTGCTGAACATTGATGTTGTACCTTCTTTCTTCCCAGATTCTTGACTACCCCACCTCTGCACCATGACTGTCTACCTAGACATCTGCTCCAACTTTTGGTTCTGTCACAAGCCCTCTCCTATTCTTTCGGTGCTGCAAGTCCTGGTTTGGGGGATGGGAGCTGTCTGCTCGGGAAAGAGCAAAATTGGAAAGGTTGAGGTCTCTTTGGGTGGCCACCCAAGCTGGAATCTTAATCTCCAGAGCCCAAAATCACACTGCTAGTTCTGAAGATGAAGCCAGCCCACAATCCCACCATCATTAGACTTCTAATTCCCCAGACATGAAGTCTGTGTTGTGGAAGCTGACACATACCAACCACTTCCCCACCATGAGACAACAGTTTGTCCCAACTCCAGCCAAGATAACTCAAAATTCGAGTTGGAGAAACAATAGATAAATATTGGCTGAGACTCTAAAGATATTTATTTATTTGTTTGTTTGTTTATATTTATTTATAGGAAGAGAGAGAAACATCAACACACAATATGATGTGACCTGGGCACGTGCCTCAATCAGGAATGCAACTGGTGACCCCTCCATTTACAGGACAAAGCCCAACCCACTGAACCACACAGGTCAGGGTTTGGCTGAGACTCTAATTCAAGTCTTTCCATCCCAAGCAATGTAGCTCTGGATATACACAGTGACAGTTTCTGTCACAGCAATAGCAGCCAGCTTCAGCCCACAGGGACCCAGGTGAGAAGTGGCTTTTCAGGTGATATTAGACTTGGGCCTGTCAGGCCAGGGTTGATGGCTGATGGGAGACCAAGTCAATGGCCGGACCAACAATGTTTTTTTGTTTTTTTAAATATAGCCCATTTTACCCACCTTTGGTTATTTTTTTAAGGCAAATTCTTAGACCCTGATTAAAGTGTGATACAGTGCCCTGACCAGTGTGGCTCAGTTGGTTGCGTATGGCCTCCCAAACCAAAAGGTCACCAGTTTGATGCCCTGCATTGTAGTTTTAGTCCCCAGTTGGAGCACGGGCAAGAGGCAAGCAATTGATGTTTCTCTCTCAAATTGATGTTTCTCTCTCACATTCATGTTTCTCTCCTTCTCTTTCTTCTCCCTTCCCTTATCTCTAAAAAAGTAAAATAAAATCAGGTGGATTCTTTTAGAAAAAAAAGTGTGATATGATTCTTCCACTAGAGTCTTTGCATACTTATATTATTGAGAGCAAGTTGTACTTACACTATTTTATCCTGGTTGTTAATTTACTGCTATATTATAATCATTTTTAAGTTTTCAATTACAGTTAACATTCAGTATTATTTTATATTAGTTTCAGGTGTACAGCATAGTGGTTAAACATTTATATAACTTACAAAGTGAGCTGCACAATAATTCTAGTACACACCTGGTACCATACAATTATTACAATATTGTTGACTATATTCCCTGTGCATCCCTGTGACTATTCTGAAACTACCAATTTCTACTTCTTAATTCCTTGACCTTTTTCACCCACCCCCCATACCCCCTCCAATGTGGCAATGGCCAGTGTATTCTCAGTATCTCTGAGTCTGTTTCCATTTTGTTTATTTGTTTATTTTGTTCTTTATATTCCACATATGAGTGAAATCATATGGTATTTGTCTTTCTCTGACTGACTTATTTCACTTAGCATAATGTTCTCAAGGTCCATCCATGCTGTTGCAAAAGGTCAGATTTCCTTCTGTTAATAACCGAGTAGTATTCCATCGTGTAAATGTCCCATAGTTGTTTTATCCACTCATCTACTGATGGGCACTTAGGTGGCTCAGCTATTGTAAATAATGCCGCAGTGAATATAAGAGTGTGTATATCTTTTGAACCAGTGTTTTAGATTTCTTTGGATAAATACCTGTAAGTGGATATGCTGGGTCATAAGGCAGTTCTATTTTTAATTTTTTAAGGAAACTCCACACCATTTTCCATAGTGGCTGCACCAATCTGCATTCCCACCAACAGTGCACAAGGGTTCCCTTTTCTCCACATCCTCACCAGCAGTTGTTAGGACCACCACCAGTTTTGAAGGGAAGTCCTCCTGAGCATTAGCCATAAGTCCAGTAGAAGGGCCACTAGAAGACACAGGCCAGTCCCAGCATAGCTCATATCAAGCTAGGCAGCACTCTGAGCACTTTGCAGATATTTACTCACTTGATCCACACAACAGCTTTATGGTATAGGTACTTTTATTATCTACTAAAGGTCATACATCGATGAGAAACTGTAAATTATGTGAATAATCTATAGATTAGAACCTGAGGTTTAGTGAGTTTAAGCCACTTGCCCATGAGCACACACGTGAGACCAGACACTAGGGGCCCCGGGTCTGTCTTTGCCATTGTGCTGACCTGCAAACGTGAGGGAGCTAAGACAGTTGGGCCACCTTTGTCCTCCATCTACCAGCTGGGCTAAGACTGGACATTCAGTCTCTAACAAGAATTAGTGTCATGGTTCTCAACCTGGGGATATTTAGAACACTGTCAATGTCTGGATCCCGCTTCTGAGAAATTCTGGTTTAATTGGTCTGAGATGAAATTCAGCCAGCAGGGTGTATGGAAGGTACGGTGATCAAAACCTCCTCCATTTAAAAGCACATAGAATCAGCCCCATCCTGACAACACTGAACTCCTAGTCACAGTTCTGCCTCTCCCTCCAGCCATGGCTCTTATCTCTTTCCTCTGTAACCACAGCCAGATTTCCTGAAAGGTGTCTCCACTCCCCTCCCATTTCCCTTCTTAACCTGCTGTGGTCTGGGTTCTGGAAAGCAGGTCTAGTGTCTGGGAAGCTGATCTAGCTAAGTTTAACCTCTCGGTGTTGCCACAGAGAGTGTTCACTGCTTGAGCCTCAGCCTTCTTAAAGTCTTGAATGCAGTTGATGTCAACCAGGCACTGTTCTTAGAAGACACCCCTCTCATACCACCATGCAATCTCCTTGTCTGGAAATTTCACCTCTGTCTTTTAGAAGGCTTTTTCTAGCAAACCATACAAGTCTGTTGTGAAGGTGGGGCTTCCAGAGACCCACAACCCTGTCCTGTCCTCAAAGAGTTGAATGTGGTCAGTACTAGAGGTGTACAGAACCCTCGAGGCAATAGGGTAGCTCCTCCAGGGGAGGCTCCCAACTCCTTCCCTCAAGCTGTTTCCCTGTCTCTCAGCATCTCCAGAGGGGAGTGAATGGAGAAAGAATAAAGCTTCAGTAGGGCTCTTTTTACTGGTGAGCAAGAACCCACCATGCCTCTCTTCCAGTTAGAAGATGGTCACTGGGACAAGGCACAGCCCTTCTGGCTGCACTCATTTTGCCAGTATGGTCATGGAGTCCTTTTGTAAGGAGCTTCTGGTACATGTGACTTTTTTTCCTGGGCCCTTGGCCTTCTGAACACACAGAAATTAATTTGAACAAGGTATATTATAAATGTTTTAAAGCCATCAATTCTCTAATGCTTTGTGCCCTAGGAAATCGGCTTTTCTAAAATCTGTAATATGCTGGTGGGTGAAGGTGGGAGAAGCAGTGAGGAAGGTGGGCAGGCAAGCCAGGCTGGGTTCCAAATATCACTATTCTTGTGGTGTTGGACCCCGGGAAACTGTTTCCGTCTCCGAGACTCAGTTTCCTCCCTTGTTATTGTCATTGTTAGCTCCTCGATCTGTGGTAAGGATGCTGAGAAATGACTTCTGTGTGGTGTTGGCATGACCTCTGCCACAGTAAGTACTTACTAGGAGTTGGGGAAACTGAACTAAATTGCATTCAACCATAGTGTACCAACTCATTTCAGACCAAGAGAGAAAGTGTGTGTGTGTGCAAGAGAGACTTGCAAAAAACAAAGCCTATCTCTGTGCACGTCTCTCCTCTGGGAAGGAAGGGGCCCATGCAGTGACAATAGACCAGGGGCGCTGACTCAGACAGCCAGTTCCTGCTCATTTCCCGTTGCTGCAGGACAGCAGTAGGGCGGGAGGTCAGCCCTCTGTGGGGTCTGACTTGGGCCTCTGGCTGAGAACATTACCCAGAGAGAGACCAGACCAACTCAAACAGCTCCCCTCACTGGTCTGCTGTGACAGGACCCACTGGACTTGTGTGGCTGCAAGCAGGCAGTGGGGGCGGAAACAAGTGTGAAAGAAAAGAGAGGAAACTCACTTTTTGAATTCTGCCTCACTTTGCCTGGGCAGCCCAGGAACAACTTTGCGGGGCAACAGAGCATGTGACCAGTGGGGCCAAACTGACCCAGACAGGACGCTGGGAAACAGGCATCGGGAAGTGTGCCTGGGCGTCCACTGAGGAGCCTGGGGAAGGGGTTCAGAACAACGTGGAGCCCATCAGCTCCCTGCCCACAGTGTGGGCCCACCACACATTTTTCTCTTGCATGAAAATTTGCTGAATGTGGAGTCTTGGCCATCCACACCACTAGAATGGAAAGAGCCGAGTCTATGACCCTCTTCTGGAGCCTGGGAGGTGAGTCTTCAGGGAAGGAGGGTTGCTTGCTCAGCAGAGAAAAGAAGGGAAGGAATTGGGGTCTGTTGAAGAGGAGGATGTGTTTTCTGCTCTCAGAGTTTTCCTGAGGCAGCTTGGGCCACTTTTGGGGGGAACAGGTACCCCAGTACTAGAGGTATGTGAAGCAGGGCAGGCTGGCTACTTGGTAGAAGCTATGAAAAGAATTCAAAATTGGGTGGCTCTGGGGGAGGAATGTGTGGATGTGATCACAACCCAACCCTGATAAGCTGGGATTCTAGAGATGATAAAAGTGAACAAGGGAGTGTGTGTGTGTGTGTGTGTGTGTGTGTGTGTGTGTGTGTGTAAGAAATACTATATCTCTTATTTTCAATAAATTGACTTATCATGCCTTCTGAGGTCTTGTCCTATGGATGGTGGAAAATACTGTCTGCCAATCTTAGTGTTTACACACTTCCTGGACTCCTGCTAAAATGCTGGGGGTTTAGACTTTTGTTTTTGTTTTTGCAATACTGAAGCATAGAGGCAGGGAGGAGCAGGGAAGAGGTGCCTATCACTGTCCGCACAGGTCTTTATCAAGGGACCAAGTGCCTTGTAATTGAAATTCAAGCCAGACCTGCTGACAGTAGGGTAGAATCAAGTTTAGGATCCCTGGCCACACCAGGACCCCTCTCTGGCTCATGTGAAGATGATAGCAGGGGTAGGGGGAAGACACTGCAGTTGCATGCCCCAGAAAATGTACTGGAAGCTACAATTAAGGCTGCAGAGTTAGCTAGTAAGACCATGAGTCCATGCCATGTCTCTGGAGTTCTGGTTGATCCATTGCTGCAGGAGTAGGCTCAAAAGGAGTTTATGAGCTTAGTAGTTGAAAACCAGAGCGACGGGACTGAGAATTGAATACTGTGAGGACCACATGCTATTTGGCATGGAGAAGAATCAGAGGAATGTGGTCTTTGGTGTTCTAGTCTTCCAGGGGCTGTCACAGGATGAAGGGAGTAGATGGGGTCTGAAGGGGGCTCAGGCAGCAGAGCTGGGGCCTATAGACAAGAAGAAACTTCCTAAAAGACTTGCCAAGGGAGTGAGGGGTCTGGCTGTCTTTGGGCAAGTTGTCTTTTTTTTTTTTTTACAGTCATGGGGCAAGTCCTTCAAAAGACCAGGGCAAGAGAGGGAGGAGGTGCCATCTTCACCTGGGATGCAGGCCTGGCCCACCTTGCAGTCAGTTTCCTCCTTCCACCTCCACAGCTAGCACCCTGGCTTGGTACCCCCATCACTCTCCCTCTGATTGGGCTCCCTGCTCCCACTCTGGCTCTCTCAAGCCCATTCTGCACTCTTCAGCCAAAGCATGACTTTAAAAAACATACCTGGCAGTTCAAAATCCTCCAATGGCTGCCTACTACTCACTGGTGAAAGTCAAGGTTTCTTTCACTCCTTTATCACCTCCTTCCTACTCTATAAAGACAGAGCACAGACAAGATCTTCTCTCACTGTAACACAGCTCTGACATTTCACAAATATATGTCCTAGACAACTGGAAAGGGCTATATTTAACCTTCTGCCTGCTAGCTTTTAATGAAGGGACTTGCTTCAGGCACTGCCTTCTAATGCCGCAGGAGACCTGAGCCTTTTGTTTGTTCTCTCCCAGGCCAAAGCTGGCCTCTCTCTCCAGCAGTATGGTGCCAGCTGCTTGGCCTGCCCTCTGTCTTTAGGTGAAGGAGGTCCCCATCCCACCCCCTGCAACATGCTTCCTCAAGCTTTCTTATCTGCAAATACTTGAAAGCCTCCTTTATGAACCCCATAGCTGGATAAGTGGGACAGCCAGGTGAGCCCAAGAATAGGACAGAGCTCAGGGCTGGGAAGTGCTGGCTGTGAATCTGGGCTGGCAGTGGGGGTGGGTAGGAGAGAAGAAAATGTATTGGCAGAGGTCTAGTGGGTGGGAGGAAATAACACTAAGTATGGTAAAAAGCTCTGTATATGAAACTTTGATTATACTGCCTCTTATGATCTTCACAACAATCCCATGAGGTGGGTACTGTTATTACCCATGTCATACTCCAATAAAGAGACGGGCTCAGAGCAGTTCAGGGACTTACCCAGAGGCATGCACAGTTATAAAGTGAGAGAACCAGGTTGAACCCAGGTGTGGCAAATCTCACACCTATGTTGCTTTGCACAGTCCCAGCATGTCCTGGCTGAGTTGGCACTGCCCTTTGGATCAGTTCTGTTGAGCTGGCCTACCTCAGTTCTTTGGGTATCTTTCCCAAACCCTTCATCCCCTTGAATGCCCTTTCCTCACTTCCTACCACGTAGGCTCCAGGCCCACCTCAACCTGTGCACCTAGCTGAGGAGCCCAACCGAGAAGGTTGATTTTTGAAGAGTGCCCCTGTGCTCTCAATCCTGATGGACTCACTTCTCCCCATCTCTGCTCCCACATTCTATTCTCTTCTGTCTCACAGATGGCAACTACTGGAACCAGTAGCCTCAAACAATAAGTTATATTATTTTTTCCTCTGTGTGTCACCTGGGCTGCTAATGCTAACACCCTCTGTGGCCTTGGATAAATCATTTCCCTCCTGTGGTCCCAGTTTCCCCAGCTGTAAAGTGGGAAGATAGGATACTCTGTGAGGGCCCTCACAGTTTTGAGCGCCTGGGATTCCCACAGTTCTGCCACCTCGCAGCCCACCCTTATTGCTTTCTCTCACACAATGTGGGGCATGATGATTGCCACAGGCACTGGTTTGGAAAATCTTGCTGAGCCAAAGAAGGGACAGCTACGTGGAAGTGACTGCCCCTGAGCCAATGGACCAAACAATACAGTGCTAATAACAAGCACATTTGTAGGGCACTTTATTGTTTACCAACTGCTTTCAGAGTCAGCAGGGTGGTAGGGAGGGGAACTCCAAGGTGATCCTAATGGTACATGGTGCAGCTTTAAAGAACATTGAATTACATGGTGAGAAAATGATTCTCGCCTCCTTCTCCTTCCAGCTTTCTGATTACATCAAGGAGAAAGTCTCAGCATGGTGCTATTCTTCAACCTCTGTAATGTTTGCTAATCCTTTGGAACAGATCTAGAGCAGGCCTCAGGCTCAAAGACATTGACAGACAGAGATATCTACATAGAATTTAGTTACTCTGTTCTGTTTCCATTGTATTTATTCTTACTATTACTTTCTATTTCTGGCAAATGATACTCCTTTTGCTTTGGTTTTTGTTACCATATAAAATTTATTTTACTATAAATTTGTGTAAGAAAAAATTTTTATTTTAAGAAAAAGTGAATAGTAAATAGAACCAGTGGGACCCAAATAGGGCAAAACTCATCAAAGTGGTACCTAAATGGCTAAAGCTTAGGCAACAGTGGAATGTGGTTTTGGTTCAGCATCAAGTTCCTCAAAGTGGCCTATAAGGCTCTGCATGATCTGCCCCTACTAGTGTCCCAGGCTTCATTGTCCCTTCCCCCCCTTTTTCCCACACCCTGAGCCCTTTTAGGTCTGACAGCTTTTGAGTATGCCATACCCTTTCTGTGCAATGTTTCTTCACATCCCTTGTCCATGCATCAAACCCCAACTGATTGTTTGAGAGTCAATTTAAAGGGCCCCTCCTCTAGGAAGCTTTCCTTCAGCTAAGCATGAGGTTCATTTTTTTCTATTGTATTGCCTTTCCCATTGCTATAATTATTTGCTTTTAGGCCTATGTGTTTCACAGTAGTGGTTCCAAATGCATTTGATAAGAAAAATGAGAGAGACAAAGAGAGAGAGAGAGAAATGTAACTGTGAGTGATGCCTGTGCACAGTGGCACAGTGACTGGGCCTTGGGGACTGTCCCAGTTCCTGGGATCATTTGGAATGGAGGCTTCCCTGATGCTGAGTCAGAGCCTACACAGGCCACAAAACCAGTTGGGGATTACCACTAGAGGAACTGTTGCAGGTTGCATGTGCCAAGTTGATTGAGGTGCCTTTGGGATCAACAGCTGATGGTCTAAGGGAAGTAAGCAGGACTGTTTGAGGGAGAACCTGAACTGGGACACCATCTTAATGCCTACCTCAGCTGACCCACAAAGAGCTCTGGAGCTAGTTGGCCCTTCACAGTTGTTCTGAATTACAATGAGGAGACCAGACATTTGTACCCCATATGGACAAGTCACTAGATGCAGGTTGTCCCCAGGGAGTGTGCATAGCCTTGGGTGAGGCAGTGTCTTCTGAGGAGGTGGCTGGACAATCCCCAAAGAGGACTGTCCTCCAGCAGCACTCAGTCCTCAGAAGACCACCCAAGTCTTCTTGGAGGGTGTATCCCTGTGTCCACCACAAGATCCTTGTCAGACCACCCTGGGGCTTAAATGCTGGAAAGGCAAGGAGATTTGGATAGCAGAATATGGCTATGAAGAGTTGTTGGCTGGGCCCTGGCCAGTATGGCTCAGTGGATTGGGAGTCATCCTACAAAGCAAAAGGTTGCTAGTTCAATTCCCATTTGAGGCACATGCCTGGGTTTCAGGTTCCCTTCTTCCCCTTCCTCCCTGAGTTCCTGATCAGGACACATATGAGAGGCAACCAGTCAATGTTTCTCTCTCACACTGATGTTTCTCTCCTTCCATCTCTTCCCTCCCTGTAAAAATAAATAAATAGATAGATAAATAAATAAATAGAATCTTAAAAAATAAAGAGTTGTTGGCTGGAAGGCATAATAAATGTTTGTTAAAAGAATGAATGGCTGAGCATGATGTTCTAAGTACTGTGCTTAGAGTCAAGGACAATGCAGAGGCAAACGAGTCCCAAGGAACTTCTGGTATAATAAATTGACTATTTATTAATAGTAAAGAGACTATTCTAGAACAGTGTGGTAAGGGCTACAATGTGTCCAAAAAACTATGCTTCCACAGCACTTTGTTTTTGCTCCTCATGGCCTTATCAACAACGGTGTAAGACGCAAAATACTGTGCTCACTCTACACATGTGAAAGCTGAGGCCTCAGGATTTTCTTTTCTTTTTTTTTTAGTTTTATTTATT